GACATGGTATCAGAGCCATTCTGATTGATTTTCAATCAAATTCTCATCATTTTTTTTCATATTCTATTCTTCATTTGTGGTTTCTTTCATCTTCATTCTCATCAATGGCTTCATAAACACCTCAATCAACTTAAAATTCTATTCAGGAGTCCTTGGATCCACTTTATCTTCATCCTCTGATCATCCAGACATGTTGCTCGTTTCTAAGCAATTCGATGGATCAAGTTTTGGCCCATGGAAGAAAGCTACCACGATCACTTTATCTGCCAAGAACAAATTCGGATTCGCGAATGGAAAGGTCATCAAACCATATTTTGATCATAATACCTTCGATCTATGACAGCGATGCAATGATATGGTCATGTCATGGATTTTGAATGTTTTATCTAGCAAAATTGTTGAATCTGTGTTATATTCATCCATGGATGAAGACATTTGGAAAGATCTGGATGATATATTCAGTCAATCAAATGGTGCAAAGCTATATCAACTCAACAAAGAAATATCTGATTTGTCTCAAGGATCTAATGATCTTGCCACTTATTTCACTAAATTGAAGAAGAATTGGGACGAATTAAATTCCTTGTCAACAGTTCCAATTGCATATGTAATGCTGCTCAACGAATGCAAGAACTTCAACAAAATCAAAGGCTTATCAATTTTCTTATCAGACTTAATGGAGATTACAACTCTGTTAGACGTAATATTCTCTTGATGAAGCCACTCCGCACTATTGCTCAAGCTTATGCTCTTCTCATACAAGATGAAAAAGAAAGAGATGCACAAACACCTTCTAACTTCATATCTGAATCGGATTCCTTAAATGTTTCTATCAAATCTGGATCTGGAGGAAACAATTATAAGGAAATTATGAAAATAAAAGGAATCAATACTGTTCTTTCTACAAGAAATCTTGACATACAGCAAACAAATGTTACAGATTAGTTGGATTCCCAAAAGACTTCAAATTCACCAAGAACAGACCTGCCAATGTAAATGTTTCAACTCTTTCTGTTTTTCAAAATAATAATGAGGATGAATCAAAGGAAGCTATCTCTCCAACTTTGAGTTTAGACAAATATCATTCTGTGAATGACTTGACCAAAGATCAATATCATCAATTGTGTTCTTTGTTAAGCAAACTCAATGACAATAATGGCAGTAACAATCATCAACAACAAATGAATCAGAATTCTAACAATCAAGCCTCTGTCAATTTTGTTGGTAACACTCTCTTATCTCAACAAGATTATATAATTCTATGAATCTTGATGATCTTATTGATATGAGGAGCCCTCTATATATACAGTAGGAATAGGATAGATTACAAGGATATACAAGGACTTATTCTAGGAAATGGCTAATCACTATCAAATTACAATGAATACAATAAATACAAATATATATATATATATATATATATATATATATATATATATATATATATATATGGAGATATGTTCTACTAATAGTCCTCCGCAGTCGAAACAGTAGCTGGTCTGATGGAGAGACTGGATCGGAAGCGAGTGAAAAGTTGACGAGGTAATCCCTTTGTGAAGATATCAGCATATTGGTAATCTGGCGAAACATGGAGAACTCGAAGAGAACCCATACGTACTTTTTTTCGGACAAAGTGAATATCAATTTCAACATGTTTCATGCGTTGGTGTTGTACGGGGTTTTGTGTGAGATAAACGGCTGAGATATTATCACAATAAATAATTGTGGTTTGGCATACTGGAAGGTATAACTCGAGAAGCAAGTTGTGAAGCCAAGTTGTTTCAGCTGCAGTGTTTGCGACCCCTTTGTATTCTGCCTCAACACTAGAACGAGAGATTGTGGGTTGACGTTTAGATGACCAGGAGACCAGGTTATCACCAAGGAAGACACAGTATACAGAAGTGGAGCATTGGGAATCTGGGCACCCCCCCCCCCAATCGGCATCAGAATATACTGTAAGTTTGGCAGATTTACAAGGAGTGATGTGTAGACCGTGGTTGATGGTTCCTTTGAGATACTGTAGAATGCGTTTGAGAAAATTGAAGTGTGGTTCATGTGGATTATGCATGAAGAGACACACTTGTTGGACTGCATATGCAATATTTGGTCGTATAAAGTGAGATATTGGAGAGCACCAGCTAAGCTGCGGTAGAGAGAGGGGCCGAACATTGGTTGGCCAGCAGTGAAGCTAAGCTTGGAGCCCGTGTCAACAGGAGTGGCACTTCGTTTGCATTTTTTTCATGTTGGCACGGGTTAAGATTTCATTGATGTATTGAGCTTGAGAGAGAAATATACCACCATTTTGATGTTGAGCTTGGATGCCGAGAAAGTGATGAAGTTGGTCGAGGTCAGTCATAGCGAATTCTTTAGACAATAGATCAACAAAGCGCCGAAGAAAGGATTCACTTTAGGCAGTGAGGACGATGTCATCTACATATAGTAAAAGATATGTAATTTGGTGTCCATGCTTGTAGACAAAGAAGGAGTTGTCGTTGGTGGTACTTTTAAATCTGCATGTTTGGATGAATGTTGCAAAACTTTGGTACCAAGCTCGTGGGGCCTGTTTGAGGCCGTATAATGATTTCCGTAAGCGGCAAACCTGTGTTGGGTTTTTGGTATCGACAAACAGGGGTGGCTGGAACATATAGATTGTTTCATTTAATTCCCCATGTAGGAAGGAATTCTTTACATCCAGTTGGTGAATAGGACAAGATCGTGACACAGTAAGGCTCAGAACGGTTCATATCGCCGTGGGTTTTACCACAGGACTAAAGGTCTCACCACAGTCGACGCCTACTTGTTGGCTTTTTCCATTAATGAATAGGCGTGCTTTGTATCTTTCAAGAGTCCCATTGGCATGAAATTTGTGCCGAAATAGCCACATACATCGTATAACATGAGCATCGTTTGGTCGGGGCACTAGATACCATGTGTGATTATCTATTAAAGCCTTGTATCCGTTGGTCATAGCTGAGTGCCAGTTAGGATCAGATATTGCCATGTTGTAGGATTTGGGTAAGGGTGAAATGGTTGGGTCAGTAGAAGTGGTGTGAAGGTTGAATGGGGTTTTAGGTTTTGTGATTCCGGCTTTGGAGCGTATGGTCATGGTGTGGGTTAAGGTAGGGGAGGGAGTTTGATGGGTGATGTGGTGATGTGGTGGCCATTTGGAATATGTGGTAGGGAAGGATGTGGCGTTTGTTGTGGATGGATGTGTGTGAGATATGGGATTCACGGGGGTCGTTTCAGGTGGATGATTGTCGGGTGGAGGAGTGGTTGTTGGATGTTCAGTATCGGGGCTGGGGTTGGGGTTGTGTGAAGGTGGAGGGGTATGTGGAAGAGGAGATTGAGGATTTTGAAATATAATGGGTGAAGGATCGATGTCTAGGAAGGAATAGTTTGGTTGTGGGTTTGGAGTAGAGAAAAGGAATGATGTTTCATCAAATGTGACGTGACGAGAGAGGAGGATCTTGCCGGTGGATAAGTCAAGGCATCGATAACCCCGATAGTTGGTCGGGTATCCAAGGAAAACACGGGCGGTGGATTTTGGGAAGAGTTTATATGGGCGGGTGGCAGTGAGGCTGGGGTAGCACGCACAACCGAAGACCCGTAGGTGGTCATAGGTAGGGTGTTTTTGGTAGAGCGCGGAAGTTGGAGTGTGGAAGTTTAGTACTTTGGTGGGTAAGATGTTGTGAAGGTAGGTAGTTGTATGGAGTGCATCAACCCATAATTTAGGTGGGAGGGAAGCATGGGTAAGAAGAGTGAGCATGAGTTCGTTGATGCGACGAATCATGTGTTCAGCCTTCCCATTTTGTTGGGAGGTGTGTGGGTAAGAGAAGAAGATATGAAGGCTGGTGGTTGAGGCAAATTGGTGGAAGTGGTGGTTGTCAAATTCACCTCCTTTGTCACACTGGAAAGTTTTTGTGGAATTGTGTTTGGATGAATTTGTGAAAGTGTTTGAATTTGTCATAGGTTTCAGATTTAAATTTTAAAGGAATGACCCATGTATAGTGTGTGTGGTCATCAATAATGAGAAGATAATATTTCTGGCCACTTTTGCTTGGTAAGGGAGATGTCCATAAGTCAGCATGAACTAGATCAAATGGTTCAAGTCTGGTTGATGTGGAGTCGGTGAATGGGAGTCTTTTGTGTTTGGCAAGTTGACATGAGTCACATACAAATGAATGATCAAGTTTATTGCAAGAAATAATTTTATTAGAACTAAGGAAGTCCATTACATGATGGCCAAGATGTCCGAGTCTGTTATGCCAAAACAAGAAATTAGAGGAAACAAAAAAAGATAAATTTGTTGGAGCGATGATTAGGTAAAGATCCACGGAGCTATTGTGCCTCGTCAATAGTTTCCCACTCTTGTAGTCCTTCACAGATAAACCATAAGGGTCAAATTCGACATATACGAGATTATTACGGGTGAATTTAAGAACGGAAACGAGATTTTTAATTATATCGGGTGTGTGTAAGATGTCTTTAATATGGATGGGTTTAGTGGGGTAGGGTAAGGTCGAATGACATGATCCTAATACCGGAACTCGATTTCCATTTCCAACAAAAACAGATTTAATAGATGACACAGAAGGGGTGGAAATTTTACATGCATTAGCCGTAAGGTGATTGGTTGCGCCTGTATCCATGTACCACTGATTGTCATTTGGCTCTAAGGTCATGGTGTTAAAAGTCGCTCCAAGTTCTGTTGGTTCAAGAGGATTGACATTAGTGAGATGAGCCTGCTGTGCATTGCTAGTCTGGTTATTAGGTTGGCGATTTTGTGGGCTGTTCCATGGAGAAGCCCACCCGGGCATAGTTGGATAGGGACAAGGAGGTGTAGTCCACCATGGGGCAGCAACCTAATAAGGTATTTGTGGGGGATTGGGCCATTGAGATCTGGGTGGATTAGGTTGAGATCCATGCCGATTGGAAGAAGAGGCATGCCGTTGATTTGAGGTTGGGTTGCCAGTTCGATTAGAAGAACGTCGTTGTGGTTGTCAACGATTGGAGGCGGAAGTATCACGTCGATTGGGAGGGGGATTTGAAGTCTTGTGGGTGACTGCAGCAGCGACATCGGCAGGGGATAGAGAATCTCGAGCATATTGACGTTGATGCTCAAGCTGAAGCATAGAGCACGCAGTCTCCCATGGGGGCAGAGTTTGATTGATATACACATCGACCGGTTCGTATTCAGTGGGAAGGCCTCGAAAAAGCTGAAGTACGAGGCGTTTTTCATTCAACGGACAATCAACATCATTGAGTTCATCAGAGAGCTCTTTTAATCTTTGACAATAATCTTCAAGAAAGGGCATCGCTCGAAGAGTCAAATTGTTGAATTCGTGTTCAAGAGCAGCAGCCCTAGAACCTTTGTTATTGAGAAAAATATTTTGTATTCTGGTCCAAGCCTCATAAGCAGTTGAATCCGATTCAAGAACACGGGTAAGGAGATCGTCAGAGAGAGTCCGTAGATCCATTGAAGAATAATGGCGTCAATCTCAGACCAGGATTCATAGTCTTGATCTGTTTTGGCTGGGGGTGCAGTTCCATCAATGTGGGAGAGAACCTTGTATCCACGAGCATGGAGTTTAAAGAGCTTAACCCAAGAGGAGTAGGTTACCTTCTTTCCATCAAGAGTTCTAACTTTGTTTTGAATTTTTGTAATAGTGTAAACGGGATGGATGGTTTTGGTGGGGGTAGGATCGGATTTGTCACCCATGGGGGAAGGGTAGTGACTTGCAGGGAGAAAAGGGTGGATAACACACAGTCGTAGCTGTTGCAGAAGGTTCAGAAAATGGTACTAAGCACTTAGCTCTGATACTATGTAATTCTATGAATCTTCATGATCTTATTGATATGAGGAGCCCTCTATATACACAGCAGGAATAGGAGAGATTACAGGGATATACAATAAGTTATTCTAGGAAATGGCTAACTACTATCAATTTACAATAAATACAATAAATACAAATATATATGGAGATATGTTCTATTTATATTCTAGTTATCCTAATAATTGTCATTGTCTTGAAACAACCTCAATGACATGGATAATTGATTTTAGTGCAAGTGACCATATGTGTTACAACAAATCTTTGTTGTTCAATGTTCAAAAACATCATTCTCCCTATCATATAACTCTTCCAAATAGACATCAAACCAAAGCATATGAAGTTGGAAGTATCAATCTGATTGATAATGTTGTTTACACAATGTTTTACATGTTTCTTTGTTTAAATCCAATCTATTATCCATAGCAAAACTTTGTAAACAATTAAAATCTTTAGTTGTTTTCACTGAAAGTTTTTGCTTCCTATTGTCGGGCCTTTCTCAATAGAGGCTACTAGTTCCTGGTAAACATCGAGCTGGTCTCTACTTCATTCATTCAAATCCAAGAACAACCCAAGGAATTGTTCTTTCTGTTACTTCAGACAATAGTTTTGATTCTTCTATATTGTTTTCAAATTCCATATGTAAATCATTCTCTTGTAGTACTAATGTTTCTATATGGCATAATAGACTTGGACATTTTCCCATGTACAAGTTAAAAATTCTTGGTTTGTTGAATAAATAGAATGACACTTTTGATAAATCTTATGATGTTTATTCTAGAGATAGACAACACAAACTTCCTTTCGGTCATAACATCATTCATTCCTCATCTCCTTTTGAACTCATACATATTGACACATAGGGTCCTTACAATAATCAATCATATTTCTTAACAATTGTTGATGATTTCTCAAGAATCACATGGACTCATTTGTTAAGCATAACGAGTAATGATTTTAGTATTCTAAAAGGCTTTATTCAAATGGTTGAAACTCAATATGGGACAAAGTTAAAGATGATCAGATCTGAAAATGAATTTGTGTTACGATCAAGTAATGAAGCAAAACTATTTATTCAACAAAAAGGGATCATCCATCAAACCAACTACAGTTTTACACTCCAACAAAATGGGGTGGTTGAAAGAAAAACAAAAACAATTGTTGGAAACTTCAAGATCTCTTTTACTTCAATCAAAGCTTCCTCATAAATTTTGGGGAGATTGTGTTCTCATTGCTACTTATCTCATCATTAGATTCATTTTAAAGATTGTCAACGAAAAACCCCTTTATTTCTTCTTACGGTAAAACAACCTTCATATAAACAATTCAAGACATTTGGTAGTTTACATTTTGCTAGTACTCCACAACACAACAGAGATAAGTTCCAACCAAGATCTGTCCCTTGTATTTTCATTGGGTACCCTTTTGGAAAGAAAGCATACAAAATTTATAAGCTTGATACACATAAGGTTTTCATATCAATGGATGTAATTTTTCATGAAGAGATATTTCCCTATCAACTCAAAAACAAAATTTCACCATCATTATTTCCAAATACCGAAAATACCCTTCAGGCTGAAGAGTCACATTCATCAAGTATACAACCTGATTCTTCAACACTAAATGATACTTCTATTGCCTCAAACATTCCAAATTCACAACCATTACGAAGAACAACAAGAACCATCACAACTCCCTCATATTTGCAGGATTATATCTGTAACATTGCTTCATGTGAAAATTCTTTTTCATGTTCTTCATTTTCCACATGTATGCACACGATAACTCAAACCATGTCACGCAAACTTATTTGTTTTAGCAATCTCTCTACAGCTAGCAAACAATTCATGTGCAACATGGACATAATCATTGAACCTTCCACTTATGAAGAAGCTGCATCTTTACCTGAATGGAAAGAGGCAATGGCAAAAGAATTTGGAGCTTTAGAGGATAATAACATTTGGAAAACTATGGATCTTCCCAAAGGCAAGAAACCCATTAATTGTAAATGGGTTTATAAAGTAAAATATAAAGTCAATGGGATGTAGAAAGATGCAAAGGAAGATTGGTTGATAAAGGGTTTACTCAAAAGGAAAGCGTTAATTATATTGAAAGTTTTTCTCCTGTTGTCAAAATGACAACAATTCAAGCTCTTATTGCTACAGTTGTCAAGAAATCATGGCCAATGTTTCAACTAGATGTCAACAATGTTTTTCTACTTGGTGACTTGGATGAATAAATTTTACATGAAGCCACTTCCAGGACTTCAATTATCCATCCCAAATCAAGTGTACAAACTTTATAAATCATTATATGGATTGAAACAAGCATCGAGACATTGGTATGCAAAAGTATCTTCTGCCTTGAAGGAAAGAGGTTATCAACACTCCAAAAATGATTACTCTCTTTTTCACAAAAAAAAATGGGTTCATTTAAAACTTTTGTGGCAGTATAAGATTGGTGTTTTGAGTAATAATGGGAAGCATAAGATAGGTGTTTTGAGTAATAATGCTTATATTTCAGTGATTGTATTGTTCGTTTGTAAGTTTGTAACTTACAGGTCAACTATTAAAGGTTGCTCTCCTAAACAACTATGATCTCACTTGACCTTCTCGCCTATTGTCTACAATGTAAGGTTTTGAAATGACATTTATATACTAAAGAGAAGACCTTCTTCCATTTCTTACTTACTATGTGTTTTAATTTATATATATCGGTGTGGTTCAATTTTTTATGTGTATGTGTTTGTTTTGTTTCAGGTTGTGTTTCATCATGACATTGATTGTAGACAAAATAAATTCTAGAGCAAGCAAAGGTACAACTTATCATTTGTTCCCGATAAATATTTAGTTCAAGTTGTTACTTACAGGAACACCAATAAATATCAGTACATCGTTAAATATTGCATTAAGCTAAAAAAGGGAAAATGCAAGTAGCAACTTACTTATCTTATACTGTCACTAACCCCAGGAAAATATTTATTCAAAAACGTGTACGCCATAAACGACAACTTTTTTTTGTATTTAGCACACTACTTCCCTATTTTTGTTTTTATCAGAACAATGTAGATTTAGTGTTTTTTTTCATTTTCGATGCATATTGTTGAAACTTTTACCCAATCATATGGTTATCAATAATTTAGTCATAGTAAACAGGGTAAAAGTAACATGAATTTTTTTCATATACCAATTTAGGTTTGAGATCATATTTTATACCATCTTTTAATTCTTGGAATAAAGGTTTGTTCATTTCATGTTTTTTGGACCTATTTAGGTGCTTTTCTCTTGAATATTTATTTTCAGTAAAATGAAATTTTTTTATAAACTCTCTTATTACCGTAAGGATTTTTTTACGTGGTAGAAAATAAAACATGTGAAACTCTCATTTTTTCCTTCATTGAAATCGTTGTTTGATATTTTCCTTTCATTTTTGTGTTACATCTTTATAGTAAAAGAAACCTTCCTCGAAATTATTGTCTAACATTTCAGAGGTGGTCTATGCACAAATTTTAATGGATTTCATGGGGTGATTATGGACTTGGTTCAAGAGATTGTTGTGTTCCAGCCTCCAAAGTCTCCAAAGCTACAGTAGCCATCATTGTTGACAAAATGAAGCCTACGAGACAAGTTTTTCTTCCCACTCTATGATGAACACAATTAATGAATGCAACTACAATGGTGGCTGCCAAGACTATAAATAGAGACTTCATTCTTCAGTTGTATGCATCCCAAAAACACAGAGAAACAGATAGTATAACACTTAGAGTGAGAGTGTTAGTGAGAGGGTTGGTTTTTTGTAATAGTTGAGTGTGAGAGTTGCCCTCCTATTGTAATTCTATTTTCGTGTTTAATAGAAGAGTTTTCCAACCCCAACAACTGGTATCAGAGCCCCGTTTGGTGTCCAGGGAATTCTTTACAAATTTCTCTGTTTTTTCGTCAAATTTTTTTTGTCTCAAAATCCATTTTTGAGTACACCGTTGGAAAGGGCTTGTTTCAAGGATTCCGAAAATATATTTTTCGTAATTTTTTGACCACGGGAAGACCTCCAAAACGTCGGTCAAAGTTTGGTCAAAATCGCCGGAAAATATCGCCGGAAAAACCAGTCGCCGGAAGCCTCGCCGGAGAAGAAGGAGTGACGTCATCATTGACCAGAGTTTCAGATATTTTCAGTTTAGCCCCTGAAGTTTCCGAAAATTTCAAACAGGTCCCTCTGTTTCTAAAACACTGAAGTTCGGTCCCTGTTTGTTCCGAAAGTAACCTGTTTGCTCCCTAGACTTCAGAAAAGTTTCAGAAAGGTCCCTGGTTGGTAGAAACGTTTCAGATTAGTCCCTGTAAGCTGCGAAAATTACAGTTTAGTCCCTATAATTCTGAAAAGTTACAAATTAATCCATAACTTTTCAAGAAAGTATATTTTGGCTCCGAAAAATTCTACCCCACCATTTTTGACACTTCCAAATCCAACCGAGAGCTCGGTTTTATCTAATTTTTCCTCTAAATATTTGTAAAATAAATTTGCAATATTTTCGATGGAATCTACAAGTACGACTACGATGGTTCGACTTACGCCCACAAATTACAACATGTGGAAGCCAAGGATGGAAGATTTGCTTAATCTGAAAGATTTAGCAGAGCCTATAGAAAAGCAAG